AAAAAAAAAAAAAAGAAAGATGGCAGAGAGGGCATGTGGAGAAATTACATAAGAAAAGCCTCTCCTTCCCCCTTAAAATTTGGGTAAGAAACATTTAAGGAGGAAATATATAGGTAAATAGACAAATAGACATATTATCATGTGGCTCAAATAAAAAAAAAATCCTGATAAAGGATATTCAAAACTGAAAAACACTCATACAACTCAATATCAAAAAATTAAAAAAAAAAAAAACAGCCCAATCCAAAAATGGGCAGAAGATCTGAATAGACATTTCTCCAAGGAAGACATACAAACAGCTAATGGGCATGTGAAAAGATGCTTTACATTGCAAATTATTAGAGAAATGCAAATCAAAAACACAATGAGGTATCATCTCACACCTGTCAGAATGGCCATCATCAAAAAGTCTACAGAAAACAAACTTTGGCAAGAATGTGAAGAAAAGGTAACACTTATACACTGTTGGTGGGAATGTAAATTGGTGCAGCCACTATGGAAAACAGTATGGAGGTTCCTCAAAAAACTAAAAATAGAACTACCATATGATCTAGAAATTTCATTACTGGGTATATATCTAGAAAATAAGAAAACATTAATTCAACAAGATACATGCACCCCAATGTTCATAGCAGCACTATTTACAATAGCTAAGATATGGAAGCAACCCAAGTGTCCATGAACAGAGGGAATATATATACACACCATATATGTGTATGTGGTGTATATATGTGTTTATATATATGTGTGGTGTATATATATGTATATATATATAAACAAATTATATATACAATGGAATATTACTCAGCCATAAAAAGAATGAAATTCTGCTATTTGCAGCAATATGGATGGACTTAGAGAATATTATCCTTAGTGAAATAAATCAAAGACAAACACTGTATGATATCATTTATATGTGGAATCTCAAAAATAAAACAAACGAACATAGATGCAAAACAGAAACAGACAGAGATTTAGAAAACAAACTAGTGGTTGCCAGTGGGGAGAGGGAAGTGGGGAGGGGCAAGGTAGGGGTATGGGATTAAAAGATACAAGCTATTATGTATAAAATAGATAAGAAAGAAGGATATATTCTATAGCACAGGGAATTATAGCCGTTATTTTATAATATTAATAGCTGTTAATGGAGTATATTCTAAAAATACTGAATCACTATGCTGTACATCTGAAACTAATATAATATTGTAAATCTACTATATTTCAATTAAAAAGCCTGAAAAACAAACCGAACCAGTTATTTTGAATCTGTTGTTGAAAATAAGTAGAAAGAAACTAAATAAAGAGTTGAGCACTGAACATGACTTCAAATATTTTGTCTTTGGCCAGTCTCTGGTTACAGATGAAATAGTGTTTCATTAAGGAAAAAAATGGTAGCTTTTGTTGGAAGTTTAGCAGTTGTGTAATTCTTACTTATTAGAAGGAATGGATTGCTTGCCACAACATCTATACTTGATATAAATTTATATTACTGAGGTGGGTATATCTTGTTTAGAAATTTCCATAGGTAATAAGGCACTTAGGCATATTTATTGTTTGTTGAAATTAAGGAACCTAAATTATATTTTTGACCAAGGATCTTTAATTACAAATATTGGAATTTAGAAGCTAGATATTTTGACTCTGACTCCAGAAAATGAGTTTTTATGGTTTAAATCATTCCTTATGTGTCTTCAAATGAACCATATTGTCTCTTGTAGCTAAAGTGTTTCTTTGTTAAATTAGAAGAACCTATAATTATGAGGCAACATGTGTGATGATAAATAAATGAATGAATAAATAAGTGAAAAATAAGGGCGCTTTGGCTGTATTCCAATTACTTCTCTGATATTGAATTAGATTTTTTTTTTTTTTTTTTTGCGGTATGTGGGCCTCTCACTGTTGTGGCCTCTCCCGTTGCGGAGCACAGGCTCCGACGCGCAGGCTCAGCGGCCATGGCTCACGGGCCTAGCCGCTCCGCGGCATGTGGGATCTTCTCGGACCGGGGCACGAACCCGTGTCCCCTGCATCGGCAGGCAGACTCTCAACCACTGTGCCACCAGGGAAGCCCGATGGTGTTTTTTATTAATCTTCAAGTGGACTCAAAATATTAGGAGCATCACTGATTTCATGAAGCAGGTAGTCTGGTTTTTGCAGAAAGACTAAAATGATGATAAATTTTGTATTTGTACTAAGACAACTCATTCAGTCACTTAATACACATTTATGGAGTGTGTACTAACTTAGGCACTATTCTAGGCCCTGGGGATACAGCGGTGAACAAAAGACATTAATCCCAGTCCACATGGAGCTTAAACTCTAGGAAGAGCAGTAAGAGCAGATAATAAGCTAATAAATTAGTAAAGTATATATAGTGATGTTGGAGAAAATAAAGCTAGGAAGGAGGAAGTTAGGTAGTTAGGTGGTTAGGAAAGGCCTTCACTGGCAAGGTAGCATAAGGAACTAAGGACACAAGGAAGTGAACCAAGTAGATATCTTGGAGGAGAGCATTCCATGCAGAAGGCACAGGAAATGTAAAAGCTTTGAGGTGGGAAACAGGTTTGTGAGTTCCAGAAACTCACCTACCATAGTATGTTATCGACCAACCACTTTCTTTCCCATTTTTGTCATCATTTTTTTTTAATGATTGCACTGATTGGTTGATTGATGGCTGTGTTGGGTCTTCATTGCTGCACGCAGGCTTTTTCCAGTTGTGGCGAGCGGAGGCTTCTCTTGTTGCGGAGCACGAGCTCTAGGCGTGCGGGCTTCAGTAGTTGTGGCACGTGGGCTCAGTCGTTGTGGCTCTCGGGCTGTAGAGCGCAGGTTCAGTTGTTGTGGTGCACGGGCTTAGTTTCCTCACGGCATGTGGGATCTTCCCAGACCAGGGCTCGAACCTGTGTCCCCTGCATTGGCAGGCAGATTCTTAACCACGGTGCCACCAGGGAAGCCCTGGCCTGGTTTTGTCCCTGAGATTAGAGTCCAGAACTAATTGGCACTTCTCTAGGGAGATTTTTTTAGTAGGAAAAGATAATGCTTTGTGATTTTCTGATTTACTTTTTCTGATAATGTTCAAAATGCCTTTTAGGGCTTTTTTTTTTTTTCGGTACGCGGGCCTCTCACTGCTGTGGCCTCTCCCGTTGCGGAGCACAGGCTCCGGACGCGCAGGCTCAGCGGCTATGGCTTACGGGCCCAGCCACTTCGCGGCATGTGGGATCCTCCCGGACCGGGGCACAAACCCGTGTCCCCTGCATCGGCAGGCGGACTCCCAACCGCTGCGCCACCAGGGAAGCCTTAGGGCTTTTTTTTTGTTTTTGTTTTAGCAATTGCAGGAACAGCAGGAGTTTGGGATTGGTATTTTAATAAAATAGTTTACAGTGGCTACTTAATTAGTTTTCTGGTCATAATAAATTCTCTTGAATACAACAAATGTAATTTAAATTATTTCCAAGTTACCTCATACTTGTACACAATAAAGTTCATTTGCCATGTTTCTGTCCACTTGCACAGTCATGTGAAAATTTCCTGCAGATCTTCCTGCCAATTTGGCATTAAACTATCAATGAGTTCCTATTTCACTTCCATAATTATTAAGCCTTTGGAATCTCTACTAAGAGGTAATTTCATTGACCAAGACCAAGACAAGCAGTTTTTTTCCCAGAGGAAACAAAATGATACCCAGACACTCTCTAAAAGTCTTGAGAGTAATGAATATGTAAGTCAAGGAAGAAACAGTCCAGTTTTTTCAAAAGGCCTTTCACAAAGTGTCACACCAAAAATTAGTAACATTAAATGAAACAAACATGGAGGAATAGTTTGTCGTGTCAGACAATGGAATTAAAGATAGAAAAAAATGTGAAATGACATTTTGAAAGACACATTCAAAATAATTTTTCTATAAACGATTTGACAGAGTCAGTAGAGAAATCTCCGAAATATTACACCATGCTATATGCTCTCCTTTTCCTGTTTCTTTGGAATCTTCTATTGTAGACCAACTACCTAACTTCCTGGAACTCTTTCTAGTGTAGTCTGAAACGTGGCTTTCTCCTTCCTGTAATCCAGTTTTTTTATTTTTATTTTTTTTGCCCCACTGCGCCACCCGGGATCATAGCTCCCCCGACCAGGGATGGAAGCCTTGCCTGCTGCAGCGGAAGCGCAGTCTTAACCACTGGAATGCCAAGAAAGTCCCTAGTCCAGATTTTCTTGCTTGCCTGCCTTAGCTCACTCTATTTCCTGTTCTTGGAAGGTCTTCGTTTCCTGTTAAAAATAAAGCTTCTAGAAGGCCTTCCTGATTTCCCAGCCAAAGTGCTCTTTCACTGTTTCCAGAACACCTAGTAGAATCTTTGGTCGCTTTCTCTATCCTTCCTTACCGGATTGCCTGCCTCTTCTGGACAGCAGTTTGTATTCCCAATACAGTTATCATAGTGACTCAAAACATTTTTTGTTTAATCAAATTAGGGCAGATCACTTAGAAATTCCTCCTTAGATACACTATCCCACAGCCACTCTATCTACTTGTCCATCACGGGCCATTGGCTTTCCCATGTTACACAAATTTTCCATGTTCTTTCAAAACATTTGAGTATATGCCACATTGAAAATGATTTATGCTCTTGAAATACAAAAAGTAAAAGTGGTAGGAGCACATTTCATGTACTCTGCCAAAGATGCGTTGGACGCTGGAGGCAAATAAATTGGGGATACCGTTTACGGAGGTAACAATATTTCGTTAAAATATGAAGGCCCACTGGATCACCTACACTTTATTTAGGTTTTGGAATCTCGGTCAGGTACGCTAACCGAAAAGGCTCAGGAGTGGTTACTTGAATACACGCCGCAAACACGTTCTAACTCCTTGAAAATGTTTTTAGATCAGCTGCAGCAGGCGCTGGGCGGACAACTGCCCCTCCCCCTAGCCTAAAGCTGCCCTCCGCCCCGTCCCTTCGCCCGGCCCCCGCGCCGCCGCACTGCATGCTGGGAGTCGTAGTCCCGGTTTGCTTTGCCCGGAGGGTCGAAGGGCATCGGAGTCCAGCTTGCCCTCGAGCTACTAGAGGTCGCGTTCTTCCGCTGCTCCCTTTCGTTCTGTCGGGCGGAGCCTTCTGTGAGCACGGCTGGATTTGTCTGTGCTACCGTCTCTCTTTTGGGTTTCAATAAAGTTTTCCTCTTCCTTCCCCTGTACGGAGCTCAAGATGGCGGCCTCTTGGTCGCCCTTGGTTACCCTGCGCTTAGCGCCGAGCCGGCTGAGAGGAAGATGTGTCCGGTGCAGGGCTTGGGCCGCTGCTCTCCCCACTTCGGTCACCGCCCCTGGAAACCCCTTTTGTAAAGGTTAGTGACTGTATCTGGAGTAAGCCGAGACGACTGCTTATGACCGGGGAAGTCTCGGGGCAGTCACCCTCCCTCCTCGAGCTCCCCAAACTGCCTCCTTGGTTCACGGTTTTCGAGAGGTTTCTTCGAGAGGAGTTCCACCCTCTCTTGCACCGCTGTTACTGCCTGCTCATGAAGGAGCACAGAGGGAGGTGGCCCAGAGTAACTTTCATTTTGAGGGTTAGATGTCGACCCAGGGTTTGTTCCTTCCCGGCTGTTAGAGACCTGTAAACCCAGGTGTGGGGAGTACCTCGCTTGAAGGGATTCAAGTGTGGGGTTGAGGCCTGGGAACTCTTCCAACCTGCCCCATCCCAAGCTCTTCAGGCTGGTGACCCGGGACTGTACCTCTGACATCTGCAGGCCCTGCGTGCTCTCTGGATTGCGGGAATGCAAGTGTACTGACATTCTCAGATTGAGGGGTCGATTCTTTGTGTTCTTTTCAAGTCCTAGAGGCTTCAGCGAGGCGTATTTTGTCACCGGGCTTGCATCATTCATTCATTCTTTCAAATTGTTATTCATGAGTGAATGAACCTGTATTTTGAGTAACCAAGGCCACAGGAGTGCTAGTTTTACTATATTCATATACTCCCACTAAATTGCGGGCTACTCAAAGGCAAGGACTGGGTGTCATTGTTTCCTCAGCACTTAGCACAGTGTTTGGCACCTGATGGGCAGATATATTTTTTGAGTGAATGAATGACGTTATTCTTATTGCTCCCTCGTCCACATACTTAAGCTTTCCTTTTTAAAAAAAATCTCCAGGAACCCCACCCTTATACATCTTAATAAACTGATTCTCATTGGCAGGTTAGCTAAAACTCTATCAGTCTTTGATTATTATCATAAATAGAGTTGAAATTAATACTAAAACTGGGATTAAGTCACCTTAGGTTTTACTGTAAAGTTTAGCATAATCCACTTACTGTATAATGGAATATTTTGGTAGCATGAGGTTTCGATCTTAATATAAACTATTTAAAAAAAATTTGGAATAGGCTATACAAGTAAATAACACAAAATTCAAAAGGTACAAGAAGGAATTCGGTAAAATGTTGACTTTCTTCCACTCCTGTTCCATAGCCATTTAGTTTTCCTTCCCAGAGGCAACTTCTCATACTTGTTTCTTATGTATTCTTCCAGAGACATTCTGTATATATCCACCATATATATTTATAAATACCTGAATTAAAGAAAAATAGAAGTGGTAATATACTATACACACTGTTCTGGTCCTTTCTTTTTTTTTCATGTAGTACATCTTGGAGATCATTCCATATAAATACGTGTAGAACTGCCCCTTTTTTTTGGCTGCCACAAGGCATGTGGGATCTTAGTTCCCCAACCAGGGATTGAATGAGCCCTCCCTGCATTGGAAGCTCAGAGTCTTAACCACTGGACTGCCAGGGAAGTCCCTGTACCTCATGTTTTAAATGGTTAAAATAGAATTCTGTTCAATGCATGTACCATAATTTATGAAAATTAGGATTTAAGGAACATTAGCGTAACAACGTGAGCCTTAATGTTTGTTCTGGGTCATGCAATATGCTAAGTGCTTATTTTGTTTAATTCCCATTATCCTCATTTTGGGGATGAGGAACCCAAGGTTGCAGAAGTTATTTGGCTAGTTAAGTGGCAGAATTTTTTTTGTTTTTGGCGGTACGCGGGCCCCTCACTGTTGTGGCCTTTCCCGTTGCGGAGCGCAGGCTCAGCGGCCATGGCTCACGGGCCCAGCCGCTCCGCGGCATGTGGGATTTTCCAGACTGGGGCACGAACCCGTGTCCCCTGCATCGGCAGGTGGACTCTCAACCACTGCGCCACCAGGGAAGCCCCAGAATTTGTTTTGAATGTGGACATTTGATGAAAATGCAGTTAGAGGTCAATTTAATTGTAACTAAAGTTGCTCCTTCCCCCTCTTTAAGTAAAAGAAAAATTTAAGTTGAAACGTTATTCAGTATTTAGAGTCTGATTTAAGTTTGCTTTCTATCGTTTTCTTGATGTTTTGGGGGGGTATTTACTGTTGACATTTGTTTTATCTCCTTTTTTTCATCTTTTCAAGCCTACTGTTTACTGCAGTGTAATGTGAGGGAAGCACATTACACTTAATGTTAAACAAAAGAAGGAAGTAGATAAAGGAAAGGAATGAGGGGAAAGGAAGAGCATGTTCTTTGTTTTTGTGCTTCATTTCTTTCTTTCATTTTTTTTTCCTTAATTTATTTATTTGGCTGCATGGGGTCTTGGTTGCAGCATGCGGGATCTAGTTCCTTGACCAGGGATCGAACCCAGGCCCCCTGCATTGGGAATGCAGAGTCTTAGCCACTGGACCACCAGGGAAGTCCCCATCTAAGCTTTAATGCCAGCCTTGGCTCTAAGACATTTTGGTAACTGGAAATGTGAAAACTTTAGGGGTCCTAAAATGGTGTTCATTCATATCACCTAACTTTAAATTCCTTAGGAAGTACAACTTATGAATTCCATTTTGCGATATATGTATTTCCATTAGTCAGATTATTAAACAATTGAAAGTATCAATAAAATTTGGTATCTTAAATAATTTAAGTATATATGTCAATTTTGATATTACTGCTTGTTTTCTTTTAGGTCTAAGTGTATCTTCATTTAATGTAACAGTTATTCAGTCTCCAGATAGTTATGGGGAAACATTTTATTAGAAATCAGAGTGGTCATGGTGTGGGTAGAAAATGCCTCGAGATTGCTAATTCAGTTGAAGTCTTGTATTAAGTGTATGGAGGGGGAAAGTGAATGAAATTGGCTCCCAGGCCTTGAATAGCTTACAGTCTTGGGAGATGGAATTACAAGAACTAATGTTTATTGAGCCCTTTCTGTGTTCCAGGCAGTCTGCGAGCCGTTTCTTTCTCTCATAATTTTATCTTCATAAAAACTCTATTATAAAGTTATTTTAAAATTTTTTAAAAAATTTTATTTTTTAATGTTTCTTTTTAAAAATTTTATATTGGAGTATAATTGATTTACATTGTTGTGTTAGTTTCAGGTGAAACTGAATCACTTTAGTGATTCAGTAAAGTGATTCAGTTATACATGTACATATATCCATTCTTTTTAAGATTCTTTCCCTATATAGGTTATTACAGAGTACTGAGTAGAGTTCCCTGTGCTATCTATAAAGGTATTGTCATCTCTATTTTATAAATGACTAAACAGGCATGGCTACTCAAGTGGTATTTGAGCCCAGGCATTTTCCCTTCAAAAGCACAAACTTAACAAACCACTGTGTCCTACTAGCTCTTCACCGTGACAATGAACATTAACACCACCATAATCTAGGCCCATCTGAAGTGTTATAGACTACAGAGGAGAAAGCAGCTCTGCTTGGAGAGGGGAGGGCTTTTTGGCAAAAGTGTGGAAGTGAGCTGCACCTGGCCCTTATTGGTGTATGTATAGTCCCTCAGGGGGAGCAGCTAGAGATGAAGCTTGGCAGGTGGGCTGGATTCTGGTTAGAAGAGTCCTGTATAGTATGCAAAGATGTGTAGGCTCAGGGGGATACTGCTGAAGATTTCTTAAGAAGAGAAGTGATCAGGTCCATTTTAGCATGATTATCCCTGTGGCTACCTGAAAAACAGGTCAGGAATGCCTGGATGGGGGAATATTGGAAGCTTGGTGATTATTTAGGAGGAAGTTGTAGTAGTTTAGGGAGAGAAATTTAGGCCCTGAATTACTGCTGTGGTAAAGATGGAGAGCAGGGCAGCAAAGGAGGGAATTCAGAGACCCTGCTTTGGTAAAATTGACAGGATCTGGGGGAGACAAGGAAAGAGAGGAGTTAAGGTCAATTTGGGTTTCCTAGTTTGGGTAATTTAATGGCATCAAATTCCGTCTATCAAAGGAAACTAAACAAATGAAAAGTAAGGCCAGAGGCATTTTAGGGAGAGGTTCCATTTTGGATATGTTAAAGTTGAGGTGTTAGTGATAATTCCAGGTAAACAAGTCTAAGTAGTTGTAGGAAATATGGGATCTGAGTCTACGAAAGGAAATATGAGGTGTTGAGAGCCATGAGAATGGAAGAACTAGCCTTGAAATATTTGTAGAATGAAAAGGAGAAAAGGCTAGGGATGAGTTCTTGAGGAAAACTGATGTTTTATGAGCAGAAGGTGACCTCATCAGAGAGCAGTTAGAGAGGTCATAGGGGAAATTGGAGAGAAGCCAAGGAAGAGAACGCTTCTTAAGTTTTCTAAAACTTAAAATCAGCGTATCTATTTTACTTAAGCTAGCCTTAGAAATTAAGTTTCTTTCTTTCTGTTTTTTTTTCTTACTTTTTGGCCACACCGCGTGGCATGTGGGGTCTTAGTTCCCAGACCAGGGATGGAACCTGCACCCCCTGCAGTGGAAGCGCAGAGTCTTAACTGCTGGACCACCAGGGAAGTCCCAGAAATTAAGTTTATTTCATAGAGGCAAGGTAATATGACAGTCACACCTTGTGATTTCTTATCATTGTAGTGTCCTTCTGTATCTCAGTGTTATATTTTTAGATCTCTATATTAACTGAAGATTCGTATTTACCTTTAGTCACAATCTCTTCTTTAGTACATGTACATTGGAGATCTTGATTAGGTATTAATGTGAGTAGAACTCAGCCATATGAATTGGTATTATTTATTGGCTGTATAGATTAGTGGTTAAGAAAATGGATTTGGACTTTTATTACCCAGTTAGATGAACACCCTGTGTGAAACTTCATGTTTCTTGGATTTCCGTTAATGTTTATTATTATATTAGAAAAGAAGGTTCATGCCTGCTCCTGAGACTATTAACTTCATGATAATGGTTTCTTTCAGTCAGTTTTTTTTTTTAAGCATAGCACAACTTATTACATGGCATAGCTAGTGCTCAGATGTAGTTCTGGGGTGGAGGGTGGGCAGATGAAATAGGGTGGGTTCAAGAGTAGATAGAACCCATTAGAAAGGAACTTTAGGAGTCCAGAGATGGAT